CTTTAATGTGCCTACTTCTATGAAAGCTGTCTAAGGGAACTGCAAAATCCCTAAATTTGCTATCAAAAAAACCATAACTTTTCTATCTCTTTCCTGAGAATCACACATTTAATCAGCTGAAAATTTTCCCATTTTCCCTAAAACTGATTTTATTCCCTGGTGAGTTGCTTTTTGTTCTGCTAGTTTCAGTCTCTGGCTAGCGGGGCTGCATCCAGGTTCTTGCTGTCATTTCCTTTACCCATCCATCCTCTATGGTCACTGTGCCAGACTGAGCCCTCTCACGAAAGCCCCAGCTCCCTCTTGTCCATCACAGTCAGATCCCCCTTCCTGCAGGAAGTGAACTTGTCCTTTCACAAATGACCTTTCTAAAATGTCAGGGAATTAACCTCCTTTCTTCTTGTCCACTGTTAAATAAATTATGTCCTTCAAGGGTCATTTTCGTGTGGGGAATACTGAATCATCACATTCCATGTACAAAATAAGCAGTTACAAAATAAAAGTCCGTAATATAGTGGTGTGGGCTCAATGACCATGAAGCTCCACAGTAATTCTGGTTTTGTCCATTTCTTCATTACTGCAGATAACTACTTTTCTCCTTTCTTCATATCTAAACACTGGTGAGTTTCTCGTCAATTCATGATGATCAATCTTGTGTTTTAAAATCTTTGGAACAGGATCTGTCATTCATTGTGCCTTTATTTCTATAGCACCCCAAAAAATTGATTGCTCTCAAAATTCGCACACTTTCCTTTACGCATGTAAATTTAGCAGTAAATGGGAAAGAAGAAAGTATTGCAACATGACATCTCTTTCGTTTGGCTGGTTCTTAAAAGAACTGGAAATTAAAGTTCAAGCTGTAATACGCGAACATTCAGTACAGATCTAAAAGTCTGTTCAGGATCTTCTTAAGTCCACTGGGACTGAATTGCAAAATACAGTTATTAAATTCAATGACAACCCTGACAGCATTTTCTTTCATGCACGTCAGTGGACAAGGGACGATGTATATACAACACTGCAAATATTTTCTGGGAAGATTTCCTCCAGGCTTCCTAAATTTCTGACCTTTGCTCCTCCCTGTAAATAGCTTTTGCACATGACTGTGCTGGCCACAGGGATTGTATGAGACCTCTTCCAGTCAGCTGGAGTCTCCAGAGGAGCAAGGCAGGGACTGCCTGTTTGGGAGTATGTCCTGATACTGGCAGCTTTGTAAATTCATCTGAATGTTAGAGGAAGTTTTATAACAAGAGCAAAGAGGAAGGTAAAAGTCTTTGTTGGTCTATAAGGCATTGCATCCATCCACTTTTTCCCTTTCTTTTTGCAAGCTCCCTCTGATATTCTTTGCCACAGAATACCAAAAGCCTCACAGCCCTAGCCTGTTAGTCCTGTGGCAGCAAGTGGCAATGATACCATGCTCTGCATACTGGAAGAGTTCCAGTTCCCCCAGCAATATGCAAAGTCTTCTGCTGGAGAGCCATTTGGGCCATAACACATCTCTGCATTGCTTTATCATGTAAGAAAAGAGAGCACCAGAGGAAGTGCTTTGTGAGTTATCTAAAATACAACAGCCAGGGATATCATGTTTCCCTATGCTTGCCTTTTTCTTTTTTTTTTTAACCTGGAAATTTATTCCAAATATCATTTCTTGGCCTTGGAGAATTTTCTACAATTTCTGAACTTCCAGGAGCACAACCAGAGCAGTAATGTGCATGGCATGTTTCACACAGGGGAATTCCAGACTCTAATAAGCTTTATTTGACTAAACCTTTCAAATTTATTGTCTTTGCTTAAATCTCCTTACTGACCTTTGCAAAAGAGTGCGCATTCTAAGGTCATTTGCTAATGAAAAAGGGACATACTTGTTCAACAAAAGATTTAACATAAAGAGAGCAGAGGAAAAGCTGACATGTCTGAGTTAGCTAAGGTTAATAAAGCTAATTCAGTTAACAAGCCAGGATGCTAACTGACTGAAGAACTCCACACACTGTCATGATATTAACTAATTCTTCATCTCTAGCATCATGATAGTTCCAGAATGATCAATTATCATATATTTCTTGCAAATAATGTTAAATTATCCATCTACATCAACCCCAGTTCCTCAACCATAACCAAGGAAGGCATGGGAAAGGGGTGCTGGCATTGCCCAGCTCTCCTGGTTTCCCATGCCTTGTTTACTTATTTCTTCATACTGGATAGGAAAATCGGGGTGCAAGTGGAAATGATATTTGGCACAGTTCAGAGAGGCAGCAGTTTCCCACACAGCGCTACCTTTTCAGTATGCAGAATCCATGATTTCTTTCTTTGTGGAAGGAAATTAAATGTTTATTTTCAGAACTTCTCAAAATTAAGTTGAATTCAGATATCTAAAATTGAATTTGAATAATTTTTATCTGTTCTTTGCAAGTATGCAGGATATGTTTTCATCATTATTGAGTGTTCCTTTCCATATCTGGGTATAAGGGAAGGACAAATTGTCTCAAGTTATTTAGGCCTTACATCTTTATAGGTATGATGGAATATTTTAACTAGATATTTGCATAAGAATAGATACACTGTACTTAAAAAATCTGCATTTTTAAAAACAAATTAAATACCCATTATTTCCCTTAAAAAGGCATTTCCACAGTGTATGCTCATTTGTACTCTCTCAAGCCCGTTATACTTAAAGGTAGATAAGAAAAAGTGGCATCAGAAAAGATTTTTGGTTTTTTTTCCTGATCTTGTGGCTTAGAAGCATTCCAGTGGTTCCAATCAACAGCTTTCTATCTCAGGCAAGTAGCTAAGAAAAGTGCAGCTGTTCTAGACATGGGTCTGCACCTCCATGGGTGACTTCTAGAGATTAACTGATTTTAAAAGACCCAAAACTGCTAAGGTAGAGAAAGGTGCATCTGCAGTTGCCAGCTGTGACTGGCATAAGGAAATGAGCTGCTGCTTACTCAGATGTGCATGTCTCCTGTCAACAGGATTAGCATGTTTTATATGTGTCTTTATTTCTTCTCTATTTATTAAACTGATAAATGGAAAGACATCGGCCCGCTAAACATCAGTAATCCCCATGAGCAGGCTTACTTTAGGAGTAGGGAACTTGTATTAAGTTGTGCTTTGTTGTAAGCACAGGAGAGATTATCTTTCATGCTGACAGCTCAAACACTTAAATCCCTGTTGTCTTTTGGCAGTGCTCCTAAACAATCAGTTCTGTCAAATTAATTGCAACAGTATAGCAAAGGATCCACACTGTCAGAGATCCATACTGGTTGCTTGTCCCTGAGGAATGACATGTATTTCATTCTTTATACTGGCTCATTCCTAGACTTTTTACAAGAAAGAAGAATTCACTGAGTTTTGTACAGAATTTGGTTATCTCATCTCCTTAGGAGGAACTTGTTTGATGTAATACAGGGGTCTTAAAATATAAAAACGTACTCAAACTGTTGTTACAGCATTTTTTCACAAAACAAGTGTGGAAAATAGATTGTTTTTCTGTTGTTGTTGATTGTTTGTTTGCCTGCTTTAACTAGAAGTACACTATGTTTAAGTCATGGTATTTATTTTGGACTTTCTGATAAGACAACTACAGCATATATAAAATATAGTTATATATAGATTGTTGAAAATGAAATGTTTAAATTGTGTCTCAACTGGGGCTATCCCTTATTAGGAGCATAAAAGTTTGCATAAAATCAGAAAACAACATTCATTGGCTTGAGTACTGCTTTCTGAGTACAAATAAAATGGATATCTTCAGGTTCATTTCTTTGAGTCTCCACACTGCCCTCTTTTATTCCTCCCATCTCATTTACATTTAATGGAATTGAACACAGAACATTCAAAGCATCCTTCGATAGGGACATCGTTTAGGTCTTTCTTTCCAGGCACAGATGTGAGTGGGAAAAAAAAGTAAGTTACTCCAGGAAGGTGGGATAAGAGAGATTTTCACTATTTTTATGCAACTGTGCCATATATTTTATCCCACAATGTTAGTTTTGCATCAGTTCGTTTGTATAAATACATATCTGCTTGTTCATGTTCTGCTGCTTGGTGAGTTACTGGTGCTGTTGGGGAGTGGTCTGTGAAAATCTAATTGCATTTTTAAAATACTTTCATTAGAATCTGTTTAATTAGAGTGTTTTGGTAAATGGTGCTTTGTGCTATTTAAGCATCTCTCTTCAGAAAAGACCGTGGCTACTTACTGTTAGTGTCATTAGTGCAATGGGTACCCCAGAGCACAAAAAGCATAAGTTCCTTTGCTGATCCTGCATTTGGAACAGTTTTCAAATACATTTGTTCACAGATCTCAGCCATACTGTCACAGTTTCAGTACCTAAACCACCACTGTGTCATTTCAAAATGATTTTTTCTCCCTGTGATGAGCTTTGTGATGCTGGCAGTCAACAGAGGATGATTTTCAAACAGTGTTTGAAGTGGCCTTAAGAATGTCATTAAGGCTGTTCTACCAAACCAGTGCTGGAAGGCAGCTTTTAATGACAGGGAGCCCCCAACCTTTGTGGGTGCCCCTAATGGCATATGTGTCAAGACACTTTCAGGCTCCAGTGTTAAACAGAAGTATTGTCCCAGACAGGCAGAAATTCATGCCATTAAATATCAGTCTCCATTTGTAAGAAATGTCCCAATAAACAGATTTCACAGTTAAGCATATTTTAACTGCTTGGAGTGTAACTGATTATGTCTCATACCACTGAGAATCACTCTTGAGAAGTCATTCTGCTTATTCCAGAAAAAACACCTTTTTCATAGAGTAGCATTGAATACAGCAAATATTGATTTGATCTTTCATTTCCAAACAACGTGATCACTTTGTTGGAGTTTCTTTGTGTGGTGTCTACCTTCATCAAAGTGTCTGGTCTACTGGAATAAAAAAGGTTCTGTGTTTCATTTCTTCTGAAGACGTTGACTCCACTGCAAGGAAGCTGAGCTGCAGTCGAGCTTCATGCATCTCAACTGTTCCTAAATAAATGCTTTTTTATTACTTTTATCAGGGCCAGCCAGGCCAGCTTGGATCACAGGGGCTCCCTGGACCACCGGGATTGATGGGAATCCCAGGACTGCAAGGTCCTAAAGGTCACAAAGGTGAAAGAGGACATCCAGGAATAAGTGGACCCAAAGGAGAAATGGTAACTTTTGAATATCAGATGTTTTAGCTAATGAGCAAAGTACTGGATGGAACATCATTTTAATTGTGCTGTTTCATTCTAGGGGCTAAGAGGAGTCACTGGTTTCCCAGGGGCAGATGGCATTCCTGTAAGTAGCTGGTTACCTCATGTTGAAGAAACCACCAACTGCAAATATGGCAGACTGTGTACCTTACAAAGGCTGCAAATGTGGCAGCCTTTGTACCTTAATGCGTCTGGTCTGAATTCTGTATCAGCCACATACACAGTGTTAAGCTAAGGGCATTTGCTGAAGTAAGTGGAAATGCAGATGCTCAACAACAGGATGAAATATGTGCTCCTGCTCATTCCCTCTGATAATCAAGGTCTGTTTGCTTTGTCTTATGGAGAAATCCCCTTGTAAAAAAAAAAAAATGACAAAAAAAGAAGGAAATTCCCTGTGTCCCTAGAGATTACCCAGAAAAGTATGTTCTTTTATGGGAATAACGTGTGAGATAAGTACTTCACATCTCTTAGGCTTGTGAGCGAAGGACACCCCTGGGTCATGCCTTAATTATTTCAAAGCTGTAAAGCATGTAGAAAGACCAATAAATGTAACCATTGTTGTGTGGTTTGTATCTCATACAGCGTGCATGAGATGATCTTAAAAAAACTGTTTAGTATCTAACTTTGAACAAATTGTCCAGGTCCATGAATGTGAAACATTCAAAGAGGAAAACTGGGTAAAGTTCACAGCACAGTATTTTCCCAGCTTACACTTCTTTATATCTTGTGTCATAAAATAACAAAGAAATCTGAGTCATTGGAATCCCTGGACAGAGTTCCCAGGCTTGGGTTTCCTTTGTAGTGCTCCCTGACACCAGGGCCTTGCTCTGCAACCCACACATCCACATCCACTCAGCTTTCACCCTTTTTTGTTCCTGAAAAACTCTGTATTGAGTTTCAGGGCTTTCTCCTCTCTCCTCTCTCTCCTTATCACTCTTAGAAGAAAATCAGAAAACCTTCTTTCCTATTCCTATGCAAAATTCTGTAGCCTATAATTTCATTTACATTTTCATCATACTGAGTTGTTTTTCAGTGCTGTCCTCCTGCAAACATATCACTCTCCTGCAAAGCTCTGTGTTACTATGACTGGACAACAACTGCTACCTGAGAAAGTTTTCTTTCTTAGTCCTGCTTCCACAACCTCTGCAATTGCACTGTCAGGAATAAATACCTTCAGATATTATTTGAATCTGCATGCTTATTGTGTGCTGCCTTCAAGCCCTTGCCCTTCCCATTTGGTTATGTTCACCAACCAGTTTTCCTAGGCCAAGGCATAACACTGACCACCAGAAGGCAGATAGGCGCATATATGAACTGCAACAGCAGAGTACTAGGATATCTAGGGTCTCTAGGGGCTAGAAACCGAGGAAGGATGCTGTGAACCTGACTCTGTTCTGTAGTGCGGAATGCAGGTACTTGATGGAGCTATGAAATGACATGGACAAATTTCTTTTTCTTCTAAGCAAGGGAGCAGAAGCAAAGATAAAACCTGCTTTAGGTAGCAAAGAAGAAATAAACGTATTCTGTTTATGTTAGTTTCTGTTTTTCCTGACTGAGCCTCCTGGAAGAAAGATGATAAAGGGCAGAATTTCTTCCCATCAATCCCAATACAAACCAGTAGCAACTGCAATTAAGGTGAACAACAGTAGTGCAGTGGAAACCCATTATAAGGCAGGAGTCACTTTTCCCTGCTTTCCTGTATCTCAGAGGTTCAGTGTGGAGCTTCTACATTGCCCTCAGCAGCCTTGGTTTGAGCGTCTGGTTTCTTCCCATCTCTGTACTTATAACTTCATCATGGCACTCAACCAAGCTCTAAAGACATCAGTGATTTTTTTCCTAGCTTGGAAGCTATTCAAAGCCAGTAATGAACCTTTCTTCCCACTCCTCCAGTGTGAAACACTGAAATTCTGAACAAACCCATTTCTTGGTGACTCCCTGCACAGAAGTTTCATCTGGCTTAGTTCTCTGCTTAACAGAGACTGTATTGAACATAGCTTTCTTACCCTTTCTGAAAGGTCCTTCACTACTCATGCTGTCTGGGGCATATGGTTCAAGCTGCAGCTATATTAAAAAAAGGCACTGTCTGTTTCTTTCTTTGAAAATCATAGTTTCCCATGGATCCAAGCCTTGGGCTTAATGTGAGAATGTCTAAATACTGTGTGACTACAGGAAAAGGAAAACTAGAAACAGATGGATAGATAAACACTTTTTTTTTCCTCAACAGGGTCATCCAGGGCAGCCAGGATCAAGGGGGAAGCCAGGTCATGATGGCTGTAATGGGACAGTAGGTGACCCAGGTGACCCAGGAACACCAGGACACTCTGGTTTCCCTGGTACCATTGTAAGTAGCTGACAGTAAATAAATACCTGAAGCAAAGATGATTACTGAAATGAATTTCACACAAGTGTGTGTTGGAAACATATGGAACAGGAGATCCCTTTTGGCCTAGCAGAGCATCAAGCATCCTTGTGGATCTACCACAGACATGCCCCATAATTCTTTGGGCTGACAGGTCTGCTCAGAGCTATACCTGTCACGCAGGTCCTGCAGGGAGATTACTTCAGGAAAACTGTACAGTTCCTGATGAAAGTAACTTTTTTCTCCCCTATCTCATACCCAACATACTGGCTTTCTGTGGAGCAGGAGGTAGGATCGTGCTGAGGTGAGCACTGGAGCTCCTGGATTTACTAGTCCATACATCAGCCCTGATGAGCTGCTCCTCTTGATGTGATGTGCTCCTGTAATATCACAGTAACAGCGAGTTCTTCTCCCTGTATCTTAAATCCATGTTCTTATATACCGTGAGGGCTCGTGCTTGTTTATCAATCAGAAACTTCCAGAGTTAAACACGGTCTCTACTTTTAAACAGTAACGCATACATACTCATGAAAAGCCTTACAAATATTTTTTATTACTCTTAACTGATGATGTGTTTGCAGACAATATGAGATTTTACTCCTTTTTCGCTCACAAACAGGGAGTTCAAGGACCAAAGGGCCAGAAGGGGGAGCCCTATGTGCTACCGCCAGACATCGCCAGCCGACATCGGGTACGTGTGCAGCCCCTCTGAACTGATGAATTAGCAATCCATGCTCAGCAAGGTGTTACAAATGGTGGAGAGTGAGTTTTTCTCACATTCTGGATGAAATGTTCCCAGAGACCCACTTAGATTCTTTGTAGGTTTTTCCAGGCAGCTTCTGCTCTCTGATTACAGCAAAGCCTATCTGATATCCATGGAGGTAATGTCCACTCATTGCGAGGACTTCTAGTCCTTCTGGATGGACAGCAGATACAGTTGAGCAAATACAATAACCTGTCAATTGAAATTCTTTTGTAAGATTGTGCTTTTAAATACCAGTTCAAGTATTGTGCTTCAAGTATTATCTTCTTTATTCAATGGCTACCTTTATATCATTTGTGGCAGAGTCATTCCTGTGTTCAACTTTTGTCCATTAAATGATTCTATTTGATGTTATCACCCTTTCTTTATAACTTCCATGAAGGAATTTGGTTAACCTGTGATAAAATACGCTTCCATGTCTTGTTTGGTTCTATAGGAAACTCCAAGTATTCTTATGGATACTTTTACATCCTAATCCATAAAACTTATTTTTAAATTATTTGTATCTTTTTTTCAAATATATAGTTTTGTATAATTTGAAAATATCTGATAATAATAAGTGCTTATATTAACTGTTAGAGTATAAATTGTGACAAATTTAAATACAAAGCATACACCTGATCTATTCTGAGCACTTAATGGATCTGCTGAGTTCATTTGTATATATTTTGTGCCAGTGGTGAGTGCCAAAATATATCTTTCTGTTGACGTACTTGTAGCAGCCTATGTTTTTTTTTAATGGAATCTTCTCCTTTCAGAAACTTCTTAAGTTCCGATCACTTGTTAGCTCTTAGTAATGATTACAGAACTGCTCAAGTATTTTGCAGTCAAAGATAGATACTTGCACCTGTACCATTTCAGAAAGGAAATGGTTCCACAAATTATTCTGTTAACTAAACTCAAGTAAACTACATATAAAAAAAACTTAAGATGCTATTCAAAATGATTGAAAGTGTCTGGACTGAAGACCACATTATTTATGGATGTTGGAAAGTCTTTGCAGTAGAACATTTTTGGATCCAATTTCCAAAAACATTTCAACATGTACTGCAGTTAAAATATGTGGTCACTGAAAACAGTATGTTCCAAGTGCTTTTCAGTGACTCAGAAGAGGATCAAAATGATTTGGTAATTCCCATGCAACTCATGAAAAATGGTCTTGTACATTTCATCTAGCGTTGTATCTCTGATTCTGCTACTGGTTTGGTCTTTCAAAATGAACTGACCATGCTCCGTTGTCCATCTTAGCCTTGCAGTTTGGTTCCTTGACTTCCCTAGTCAACTTGGTACTCTCCAAATATATTGTTTGCAACTGTACTGTATGTAGAAAGTATAAAATCTATCTACGATAAAACACGTTAGATTATGTCAAAATATTCATTGAATGTGTCTGTATGTAAGGATTTGTACAGATTATATGTTATGATTATTTAAAATACCTTTTGTAATAAGAAAATGTAATGAGAAAACATTTTATTTCATTTTGTACATCTTGTTTAATGCATTTTTTACTTCTTTGTTTTCTCTAGGGAGAAATTGGGGATCCAGGATTCGCTGGTTTTCCAGTAAGTAGTATTGTAGAAAATTATAATAAATTGTCAGTAGAAACTGTCATCAGAACAACATTAATTGATGCTTGTGTGTTTGTTTTTCTATTTAAAGGGAGCTCCAGGTACACTGGGTATTCAAGGACCTATTGGTCCAAGAGGAACACCAGGAAGACCTGTAAGTATGCTTAAAATACTTTCTGTAGGAAATTATCCTAGTGGAAGAATCATGTCAGCAAGATTCAGTATATTAGACTGTAAAGTAGCAAATGAACTGAAAAAAGAGGTTTAAAAGTAATGAGTATCTGTAGTTGGATACAAAACCTTGGAAAAAGCACGGAGACACTGATTCCACAGAGATCAGTATTGCACAAAGAATTGCAGTACTTTCTTTCACCTTGTATTGCCCAAGGCTCTTGATTTATATTGCTTTTTTTTTTTTTTTTTTTTTTACTTCCTTGAGTGTCTTCTTTGAAAAGATTATTGAATGTAGCCCATTTAGGTATCTGTGACCCTCCACAGCGAGTTATCAAAGATATCAGAATCTAAATATATCGCTTTTCTGCTTGTAAATGGTATTTTATTAGCATTAGTTAACTTTTCTCATTAGTTTTTAGAAAACAATTTTATTTTTAAACTTTTTTTTTCAGTCATCTTTGTCAAAAGTCAATGCTTACAGCATTGGAGTTGACAACTGCTGCTGAATATTTCTCTGAGGAGATTGTGTTCTCTCCATATATCATTTTCTACATTTCTTATTTGCCACGGTTAATGATTTTATGGGTGAAAGCAGATGTTCAGATTCAGTGAACTTCGATTCTTTTAGGCTTGCTTTATTTTCCTGTAAGAAACCTCATAGCATTTGTTTTGTTTTTTTCCTGCTTGTTTTTCAACATTTTATTTTAAATCTGCTCTATATCACTGGTTGGGGGGGGGGCCCCGGGGAAAACAAAAAACCAATATAAACAAGCAAAAAAAAGCAGTGCTTAGAAATTCTAGGGCTAAATTCATAGCATGCTAAGCCTTCCCAAAGTTCATTTTCCACAGTGTCTGTAATATCATCTGGAGTAAGCTGTGCCATATATTTCTCCTTTGGACGTATTGAAGCGAGATCTCCATAGTTACTGTTTTTCTATAGTGGATCCTTATATTTAATGAGCTTCACAAAGCCTGCAATGACTTGTATTCTCCCTGTACACTGGGTGCAACCCATGATTGCAGTCATGCAGTCATGGCAACATCTCTTTTGAACACTGCCACTGTAGATGCATCCCCACTATCTCCCACTCTTAACAAAACTGATACATCTTTGTAATCTCTAAAGCTGTGATTCTCCTTTGGGAAGGACTTAGAAAATGCTTCCAGGTTTGTACTGTCCTTGAATCTTGGACCCCACATGAAGGTGAATGTGGCTACCCCAAGTTACTGCAGAGCTTCCAAGTGGATGCCTGCACAGTGCATCTTACCTGTAGATCAGGCAATGGCTCGTAGACTGCTTGTCTAATCAAAACAGATCAAGACTATTGTTTATTCACATGAAGATGCAGAGCAGGACAGAAATACATAGCAAGTACAGTTCTTGCCAGAAAATTATGATTTACTCTTGCAAGTTGGGATTGATTTTTCATAACCCAAGTTGCACCCCCCTGGGGCTCCGCAGGTAGACAGATCCATCTGCAGCTCTCTTTTATTATTCCTCTTATTCACCATCTTCTTCTCTGGAAAGTTCATGCTTCTTATTCATCCCACCTCTCCCACTGACTTTTTTTTAAGAGTTTAGAGCTCACTGAAGCCTGTTAACTACCATAGTTAACTGAGGCAATGCAAGTTATCTTTCCAATTAATAGCTTTCCTACTACTTGTTCTGTAAAACTGTGGCAGCATTTTCTTTGTTACAGTTTCATTTCTCACAATTTTCCTTTGATACCATTCTGTACAACATTAAATTGGTAATCTAAGATGTTAATGCTGGTTCAGCAGCCTTTGCACACCGATGCTGTATCAAAACACCAGTCTAGTGTGTTGTGTCTAGTCTAGGTATGAACATAAAACATTAACAAGTCAGGATCCAAAAGCGTAAGTTCTTATTGCTTGAAATAAAAAATGGAATTTAATTATGTCTAAGCTAGGAGACTTTGTAGGAGAGGTTATTGTATGACTTAGACAGGTATTTTTCAGAGCAGTGATACCGTTTATGTGGTGATGTTGGTACACTAAGTGCTAAGGAATACACTGCCTTCCAAATACAGACTTTTATTTCCAGCACAGAGTAACTGAGCTCCTGCATGCATTGATTACCAAGCAACAAGTAACTTTCTCCCCGCTGTTGTGTTTCTCTAGGGACCACCAGGGCCCCCAGGACCGCAAGGACCACAAGTAAGTCTTTGTTTCTAAGTCATTACTGTTGATTTTGTGTTGCTAAGGTTTATCCAAGACTGACTTGAAGGCAGTAAAATAAAGAACCACGGGCCCCTCCAAAGGCTGTGTAGCACAAGACTTTTTGTGTTGGCTGCATACCACAGAAAGTTAATCCTACGCTGGATCAGCTGCTCCAAAACAATTAAACCAATTCTAGAGCCAGATTTTATTTGCTACTGTAGTCACAGTGGCATCCCATGAGCAGAGAAACTTGGCCATCTGTACAATATTCGACTATATCTCAGCTGAAAAAAATACATATGAGCTAATTTTTCTGACTCACCTGAGTATTTTTATTTAGTGTCTACTAAAAAATTTGCAAAAGAGGTGTTTGGCCGTTACTCAGAATGACTCAAAGTCTGTTAACATTGGTATCATGAGATTTCAATTAAAGTCATCTAAATGTTTAGGTTTATGAAAATGTTTTTCAGTTCTCTAAAATTACTCTAAGTTAAAACTAGACAATTACTTGATTACATTTCTTCAGTGGCATCTGACGGAATTCTAAATCTGAAAAGCCCTTTCAGAATGTTCGAATTTAAACTTTACATTAGAAAGCAGAGCTGTATTTTTTGTAAACCCTGACCTATTGCTTTTGCAGGGCAACAGAGGTCTTGGCTTTTATGGAGAAAAAGGTGAACAGGTAAAGGAAAACTAATGAATTAGTATCACTACAGAAGGGCGGGTTGATACTGTTTGCTATTTATTAAGGAATCTATTTTGAATGCTCTCTTAATTTGTGATTTTATTACATGACTTTAATGGAAAAACAAACAGGTATAGCTTTGAAATTAATGGTAATCTGCATAACAAATGTCATAGCTGAACTAACTTCTGTGTGACCTGATCTAACTGTGCCCTATTTATACCAAGACAGAGTATGAAATGTATAGAGCCAGACTTCCTTGTATAAAGCAATAACCTTTACACTTATTCTGGAAACATACATGGCAAGAGCAAGTATCTATTCATATTTGTTTATCCCAGTACAAAATGAATTTGTTTCTTGCCGTCAATTTATTTAGAGATTTAGAAATTTATTTTTAGCAGGGGAATATCTGCATTACTCTTTTTCTATTCATCTTCCATTCCACTCATCACCCCGTGCAGACCAACAACTTGGCAAAGTATTGCAACTGTTAGTAGACATACCTTTATGTTTTTCCTTCAGGGCGCCCCAGGTCCTCCAGGTCCACCTGGGCTTCCCACAAGAGAACTGATTGGTGTCCCCACTGACAAACACAAAGTAAGTACAGAATACTTCGCCAAAATGCAAGAAGAATTAAGAGAGCCTAGCAGTATCAAAACTAAAATATCATAGCAATGTGCTTTTAGATACTGTGCTTAGAAGAGATGAATACTTCAAGACAAATTTGCTGCTTTCCTGTAGCTTGAATCCTAAGGTATTTATTGCAGCTATGGTGGCTACTCAGAAAGCACTTCTCATAAACAATGACTGGAGTTGCCTTAGCAAACTTGTTCTTTCTGTTTAAATAAACCCTAGTATGCAGCTACTGGCAATCACTGATGTCTTCTGATTCTACAAGCAGAAATACCAGCTGAAAAATTGTTTTGTATCTCATTCTCTGTAATGATGAATGAAATTATCATGCTGTAAGAAACTAATCTTCATGGAAGCAACCTGAGCTGTTGTGTATATTTATATATATGTATGTATGTATGTAAGGTGTCTCTGTGGTGCAGATGTCTATATATCTACAGTTAAGGCTTGTCCATTCATGTTGAATAAATCCTCTACAGAAAGATACGGCTTATTGTCATCTCTTATTTCTGTTAGAAACAGAAATTCTCATGCTCTGTATAAACATTTTCTATGTTGAACACCAATCCAGACCAGTAAGTAGTCCTTAGTCCTGAATTTGGAGATATAAAGTTCACATGGCTCATAGCATTTCTACAGACAGATAAATAAACTCGTGTGATACTGAAAGATCTAAAGATGTCCTTGGTGCCAATCTGGAATTTCCTTCACTAAGGAGAGATCTTTGCATACGAGCTACTTCTCTGGTTGGCTTTTATAGTCAATGGAGAGACAGACATAGTGAGTTGATAGGTTGTGATTTGTCTTGTCCTCAAGGAATTACTACCATCTGATCAGATAATTCACAGATAAGCAATAAGTAAATCTGAGATAAGGTGCGCACCTCACCCAGGCATCTTACAAACAGGCCTGATAATATCCTAAGGTGTTCAAATCCCTGGAGACAACTTCAGGAAAATTATCAAATATACAAAAAAAAAAAACCACTTTTTTTTTTTTTTTTTTAAAGAAAACAGCCTTTCCATATGACTAGTTTACCAGTAAGAGCAAAAGGGTGGTGGTGTTTCTCTTGAGCGTTTTTCACTGTGTATTTAAAAAAAGAAAAAAAAAGTTATTAAAAGTTATTAAAAGTTATTTTGGAAGTTATTAAAATGTGAATGCCTAAAATATCTGAACATTTTTCTTCATTTCCAGGGTGAAAGAGGAGAGCCTGGACAAAAAGGGGAAGCTGGACTTCCAGTAAGTGGAGAATACCAGAAACAAATAAATCAGAATTAATGTTAGTGTATTCTTCATTGACATGATGTGATCCAATTTTGGAGCAACATTATCAGGAGCACTAGTTTTGATGCTTTAGAAAACCTTAGCAGCAATATGATGTCTAAGAATTCCACAGTGAAGAATCCATCATTCTTCTACTGGTTGACCAAAATAAGATTTTCCCTCACACATTTTTTAATTTTAGCCTTAGCTATCAATAGATCTCTTTACAACTGCTGGTCAACTGTGTTTAAAAATTGTTTCAAATTCCATTAAGTAATAACGTATGAAAATTTTGTCCAAATTCTCTCCAGCACATGGAGACTTTTGGCCTCATATGTCTGTTGACTGTGAAAGTAATCCCATGTGTTGCTGTATCATTTAGAGCTGTCGACCGAGCTTGACTGAATGTGGTTTAGTTAACTCACATGAAATCTCTAGTCTGTCTAAATAGCTTTGTTATTGAGCAGTTCTTTTTTACTTCCCAGAGTGGTTTAAAATACAGCCTTCACCAATTAGGGATGCCTCACTGGGCATTTTGCAGACCTTTATTTTTTTAGATGGTCTAGTCAACTTCCCAGTGAGGTTATGGGAGAAGGCTGCAGTCTGAATCCTGCTGCAGTTCCTATTCTGATTTCCTGCTCTTGGTCAGAATTCACGCATGCAGAATTTTGCTGTGACTCTTTTAGGAAAACCACTGATTTTCATCCTGATGTAACAGAGTGGGATATGTTTCTCCCTTTTTTTCTGATAGTACCATGTCTATTGTTGCCAAATAGCTCTCTCAAGCTACAGTTAGGGCATAAGCAGGATTGCTTACTTGGTCATACAGCTGATTTGACTTATGTTTAAAGTCACAGCTGCGGAAGAAATACAGAAGGAGATGATAAGAGAGAAAGCCTTGTACTCTCCCTAATGTCCTGGTCATGTTATTGTAATGAAGAAAGCACGTCACACTCTACTTTAAGGACATTAGTTCTCTTACATGCAGACATAATAAAATCATACATGTGTTGAAATGTTATCTTCTTCTGTTTAGTTTCCATGAAGTCTCTCTTTTTTTTTTTTCTTGGCACATCATGTAGAAATATGTTGAACTGACTATAATATTTCTTAGGGTGTACTTCTCTTCACTCCTGAAAAAGGTGAAGAAGGGGTAATGGGCTTCCCAGGACAAAGGGTGAGTCGCTCATTGAAGGTAAAATTCATGCTACTGAATATGCAAGCCCAAGCCGAGACTTTGTCTTTAGGAGCAAAACACAGAAAAATAAGCCACAGAAATGAGAGCTCTTCTGCCCGTGTCTTCCAAGTTGTGGCCAGCTTTGAACTCCCTGATACGGGAAAGGAAAAATGATATTTTTACAACGGTAACAGGAGAAGGGCCCCACGTGACTCACCACCCTCCACCCTCCTGCATCATTCACCCAAAGTTGTGCTCATTTACCACTGCTCCTCCACTGGTCTGCAGGATGGACTTCATTTCACTGTTTCCACCCTAACCCTTTTTAAACTGTGGTTAACAAATACAAGTTTGACTCCAGTCCCAGTCAGTCCACTGACCCCAGAAGAAAGCTAATGTGAATACTGTTACCTGTAGCGTGTATGAATGCGTTGTGGGGGCATTGTTTCTAAAGTGCTTAAACAGAGTGACAGTAGTCAGCATACATTTTTTAAAAAATCTCAGACATTTTTAAAAGCTTAGCATCTTCATGCTCAATTTACAATTGATTGATTAAGAAGAAGATAAAAATTAAATACCTGGTTAAATTTCAGATATTTTCTGTTTGCATCATGCATTAGTCACATTGAAAAAGTACCTGAATTCTAAGAGTAAGTTTTAGTTTAAAATTATTTTTTTTCAAAATAATTGTGATATTTATTCCATCTAAGAAATAAAGAATCTGTTATTATGTCATTTCTTCTTTTACTAACTTTAATGTCCTTTCATAGGGACTGCCTGGTAACGATGGTTTTCCAGGACTTAGTGGAGAAAGAGTAAGTATTTCATACAACTGTTGTTTCCAACACACATGTAGGCAATCTGTCTGAAAAGAAGACTGCAGAAGACAAATTTTGCATGTAATTATACCAATTGTAGTCTAACAAGCATCATCTGGGTAATTTTAGGTCAGTTCATTTCCTCATGAGTGTGAAAAAAAAACCAGTTCTCTAATTAAAGTCTGTTTTACAACAGGACCACGTTTTAAAAGCATCATGAGCTGTCATTTTCATTGTTCCCATTATTACTACCATGAAATCTGTAATTTTCTTCCACATGCAGAAAGTTGTTATTGTGAAGAGTTTTTAAGATCTGTGTCTATGGTACATTTTGGATATCAAAAGTTAAAAAAAAAAAAAAAAAAAGAAATGGTAAATACACCAGTTAAATCTCTGTCCCCTTGGAAACACACCCGAATATTTAAAATTGCATTTTGTCAGACCAGGAAGAGCTCATACTTTCTGTTTATGCTCAGAAAAGGGCCTTTTCAATTAGCATTAGGAATTAATTCTGTGAGATATTCAGATAACTGTGAGATGTATGACTTTCCCATGCTCCTCCATCTTTAACTGGTTTACACGTTTGACTTTCCACCAAGGCGCAACAGCAATAACATGAAATACAGGGACTTAAAGTACAAGATACATGAAAACTAACAGTTGTGCAGCTCTTGAATTGATGACAAAACCTGGTGGTGTGGAAGGGAATTCACTATCCAAAATACATACGTGGAGAGAGTGATGCAGAGTCCATTAAAACCAAATGATTGACCTCAACTTAGGTTCATGCACTGGTGAGAAATGTTCGATGCCTTCCCTTTATTGGAAGTGAGTTTTGGCAACAGTTTTAGTGAAACGTGTATTGATTTGGACAAATTTGAAGGGGAATAAGCTGCTCGATTTGCTATTCACAATAACCCCTTTTCTAACGTTTTTTGAATGATTTGATTCTTAAAAAAGAGAGGATAGTTGCCCTGTCTGCCTGCGTTGGGTGAAGTAGTTCTTAATCAGAAAGCTACTGGCTGCACTTCTAGACCACCAGCTCCACCTAGTGTAAAGAGCCTTTATGCTTAGTACTTAACTTTTTCTGACGGTTGTCATGTAGGTGCCACTGATGCATGCACTTCTGTTTGTGGTATCTTGCTGAGAGCTGTGGAATTTCAAGGGCTTTAAAATTGTGTAAACGTCTTCAAGGGCCCACTATGAAAATATTCACTTTGTGTAGGAGTTGTTCCTACTGTGAAATTCAGGAGGTGCTGTTTTAAATCTAACTAGTGTGAATTCTACAAATCTTCTGGCTTTGGTGAAACTACTTTAGTTGGTATCAGTTAAAGAGTCCAGCCACTGCTTTCTAGTAAAAGCTCGCCTTTTTAACACTAGTCCTTTTCCAGAGTACCTATGAATATTTTCTGTAGAGAGCAGAGATTCCCAAAAATAACTGAATAAAATGCATAGATTATTCTTTTTTCTGTATCAGCATCAATGAAATCTGCTCTTTTCTGTGCACCTCCAGCATGTGAAATATGTCTTCATGTGACAGAATGATAGAATCATAGAATACCCCAAGGTGGAAAGGACTCACAAGGATCATTGAGTCCTGGCTCCACCAGAAACAAACAAAAGTCAGACCTTATGTCCAAGAACATAGTCCAGAGGCTTCTTGAACTCTGGCAAGCTCAGTGCTGTGTCCACTGCTTTGGGTAACCTGTTCCATGCCCACTGCCTTCTGGTGTAGACTCTTTCCCTAATCCCCAGTTGCCCCTCACAGTTCCATGCTGTTGACCAGCAATGAGAACATCTTTCTCTTCTCCCACCCTTCAGTGTCTAAGGGGATGTGTAAGTGTAGGTGCTCCATCTGTCTGCACTATCATCAGCAGCACAAAAGCCTGTGCCACAGCAGATCCTTCCAGCCTTTGATGAGAGGTAGATTTGATCTAACAGATGGAACATTGAAGCACGAGGAGACTTAATGAAACTGAGACTACTGAAACCTGAGGAGCAGAGTTAGCAAAACCCATTGGGAAACGGAGCATCACCTCCATGTTGAATGCCCTGTCCCTGCAGGTGTTTAAGGGCAGGCTGGATGGGCCCTGGGGTAGCCTGACCTAGTATTAAATGCAGCACATACACTGCTGGTTTCAAAAGGAACAGAACTGGGCTGTGCTTCTCATAATGTGTACCTCTGTGCCCTGGTGCTTCAAGTTACTCGGTTTGTCAGCACTTCCCATAACTATACAGCCCCACAGATTGGTGGGACAGAAGATGTGCAAGCTTGCAAAACTGTAGATTTGGGACGTTTGATTGAATAATTGGTGAACATCTTGTTATTAGAATTTTAATCAGAAATAAAGTAGCCTAATCATCTTGCTTTTTGTAAGGAATGCTTGCCTTCTGTGCTCGCATACATGAGTGAATTTGTAAATAACTCACTGCTCCTTGCTGATTGGTGATTACAACCATTCTGGAAATGAACCTGCAGAAAACAGCAGGACGTGCTAAAATGCTCAGCTTATAAATTACAAGTATCCCATTATTTTTAAAATTTGCATGGAGATTTTTGCTTGATCATTTGTTTTCTTCCTTTTGCTTATGATCCTTGTAGGATTTTCATCATATAAAGGAGTATTAATATGGAAAGAAAGATTATTTCCAAGTACTGACTGAACACATCCACTTATGTTTCTAATGCACTAAATATCAGTGTGTAATGTGACTGCTGTTTTTATCTGTCCTTATGCAACAGCATTGTGGATTATGTCAGAACTTTTCTAGCTATTTCCAGGAGAAATACTATTCTCAGTGATGCCAAGTAGTTTTTCCACACTGTGTTTTTAGATAGATTTCTTGCTTTCATATAGAAACAAATAGATAATCATTTAGCAGATGGATCTTTCAGGTAAGGTTAAAATAAGGCTTTTTGGGGGGGGTTGGACTCAATGATCTCTAGAGGCCCCTTCCAATCCCTGCAATTCTGTGACTTTGTGTGACTCTGTGACTCTGTAATGGCATTGCCTGAATTGCTACACCCCAGGGAAACAAACTGCTCAGCTCTATTACATACTTCTCACTGTAACACCAGAGGAAGACAACTGTTGCAGATAACAAATTTAATTGCCTTTCTGATAAAGGAAACGTCAACTGTTTTTATGTGTATTACAGGGTTTTCCAGGATTGGATGGTCAACCAGGTCAATATGGTCCTAGAGGAGGCAAGGTACTGCTTTACTTCCATTTGCCAGAAGTGATAATCCAGGTGTAATTTCTCTTCTCCACGATGTAGTAGCAATCAAAGTGTTCCTTGTTACTGTAGTAGCAGTTAAGTCGTTTATTGACTGAAATGGCTCACATTTCTTAAAAGCTGTGTCAGTGCTTTTGGAATTTTGGTTCTTTGTGTTTCATGGGCTTTTGTTTCCATTTTAATAGAAATTCCCCAGAATAATATGCTTAAATATGATGCTTCAACTTCCGTTAACAGGGGGAGCAGGGTGAGATGGGTCCTCCAGGACCACCTGCCTATGTTCCTTACCGCATTCCAAGAAAAGGTACGTCTTCTTTGCTTAGACTGTGTATCTTAGCCAGGTTTTATCACCTGCTGCATAGATCAAAAGCATTAAAGCCAGAGAATTCAACTCCTTAATAACTTTGGACTGCTTAACTTGTCCAAAATGTATAACGAAAGAGTGCCCTAGTTACCTTTTTGCAGGCAGATGGCTTCTTTGTCTCTCCTGCTGAAGCCAGACTGCTGTACAAAACTCATCCATACATTCCTGAGTGCACAGAGGAAAAAAAAAAATAAAGAAAAAATAAAGAAAAAAAAGTGTCCAATGAAAAGAAGAAAGGGAGAGTCTGTATTCTGGGTCTTATTTCATAGTCTCTGGATAAAATGCAGAAATCATTTGTAGCGCTCGCAGCCAGCTGCCCTGTAGGGCTGTGGTGGATCTGCTTGGCCAGACTACAAACACACAGAAAGTGATAAAAGTTTGCCAAGGCCAAAACTTCCTAGGAAAGCACTAGCAGGAATGATGATCACTTGCTGTTACACCATGCTGCATCCTTACACTGTAGAGTTTTCTAGTCTTATTGAATGCAAGAGCGTCTGGCAATAGCGAATAGTTCTCTTCCTCCTGGAGAGAATGGATAAACACTGTTTAAATCACTCAGAGTACCTGCCAAGCCTTTAGGAGCAGGAGAAGCTTTGTGGAGAGAGGACGAAGCAGGCAAGGTGATGGAATATCCTGTGCCTTCGACAAAAGGACAATACTTTCCTGATGCAATAGTTGGGCCAAGGTAGATGCTTCTGGTACAGTAAAGTAGAGCAAAGTTCATATTTCACACATGGTTATAATGGCAAATTCTTGTAGGGAAAAGGAGGGGTTATCCTCAGAAAGCTCATCAGGAGAAGTGTAGTTCTAGGAGCATACTGGAAAGAGTTCAGAGATCTTCTACCTTGGCTTCGTGGCTCTACACCATTCCTATTCCAGGGTATGCTCAGCTTCCAGATATTAGGACTTTACAGAAATCTCTCTGATATACTTGTTTATTTGCACTAAGATAGCATGAAGTACTACATTTCTGTATTTCTAAAGCTGCCTTTAAGAAATAATGGTGAATTGTAATATTCCAAAGCAGGTGAAGTTCCTAATTTAACCATTTTAGGAGTTAAGCAATCTGCAGAGTACCACAGGTCATCACTTAAGGGTCACAAACAGCATCACACTAACATGTTTTGTGGTATTGGGGTTGTCTTTCAGGTGTAAGAGGTGATCCAGGCTTTCCAGGTGCTTCTGGACTCCAGGGGGAACCAGGAGAGCAGGGTGATCGTGGGCTGCCTGGTATTCCAGGATTCTCTGATGGTAATATCCCAGTAACACTTGTTCCAGCAATTTAACAAGTTTTAACTGGTATGGGAGTGAAGTGGAGAAAATGCACGTACAGTTGGTGAAATATGCAGTGCAGTGTGATAAGTAACTAACTGCAGTAGCAAAAACCGAAAGGTTTTTTATGAACCTGCTTTGGCCCCAGTGAGACTTTGCAAAACAACTGAAGTAGAGGTGACGGCAGAACCTTGCTTCAGTACCAACTGTTGATTTGCCCAAGTGAAAAGTGCAGTTACACTTTTTGTTACACACTTAAACGTCTTCATTTTTCCCTGCTTGCTACATGCAATTGTAGGAACAGTCCCTTCTGTTACCTTACAGCTCTTTGTGCAGTACTGGTAAGAAATTCTTCTGAGTTTCTTCCCTGGTTCTGTTTCAGGAGATGCAGATAAGCCAGGCTTACCTGGAGAGATAGGACCAAAAGGTGAAAAAGGTGAAGAAGGATCTCCTGCTTATCAAGCAGGCCCACCTGGGTTTCCAGGTAAACATGGCGAACCAGGACTCCGTGGTCCACCTGGTCCCCCTGGAACTCCAGGTGAGTGCAAGAAGAGGTGTTGAGAACTCAGGAACATCATTGCTTATTTTAAAGATAACAGTTGGCAAGACAAAGTGAAAAAGTAGATTGAGGGAATGAAACAGAGTGGGTGGTGGAAAGACACATTGGATAGGAGTGATGTATGCTCACTGATGAAGAAGGTTTTGCATGACTTCCAGACATTCCTGGAAAAATTTGAAAAAGAGGTCTGTTTTGGGCTGGTGGAGAGATGAGCATTCTGTTCTTAGACTTGCATTCTGCTCTGGTAAGAAGTATTTTCACAGCTCAAGTTTCAAATGAATTATATGTACCAGTACTCTGGGAAGAGTGTCCCAGTAAGTGTGCTAGACTGAGAAGGGTCTGGCATGAAGGACACTGACTGTATATGTTGAATTTAGCAAACAGAGGTTAAAATGGTAAGTTGTGGAAAAGTTTATTTTTTGTCTCCCCCAGTCCAAGAATACCAAGAAGTCTTACAGATGGTCATCCAGATGGTTAGGGATCTGAAGCAGAAGTCAGAGAGTGGGTGGCTGTGAGAGCTGGGTTTCTTCCTTAGCCTGGAGAAGAAAAGTGCTAAGAGGAATCTTACTGCTATTTTTGTGTACCTCTCTCTCAGGAGGTCACAGTGAAAATGGAACCAGACGCACTGACTGAGGAGTACAAGCAGCAGGGCAAGAAGGAATGTTCATAAGTTTTCACAAGGGAAATTCTACTCAGATGATAGGAAAAACTTTTTCACTCCATGAAAACTTTTTCACATCTGTGGTCAGATGGTGGAACAGTTTGCCCAGAGTGGTGGTAGACTATTGATCTTTGGGGATACGCAGTACTCAGCTGAATAAGGCCCTGAGCAACTGAGATTGGCCCTGTTTGGAGAAGAACATTGGACTAGGTGCTTTCCAGAGGCAACTTCTAATTCAGACTGCATTTGTCTCTGTGAAATGCAACACACAGCAGTGCAAGAGCAGGAGTGGAGAAAAGGATTGCAGGAAGTAATCCAGAGCAGGTGGTGTGTGGTACTGCAAACCGTGTTGTGCCAAGAGTTAAAAACAAAGGAATTTAGGGTGAAAGAGACCAAAGAATAGATAGAATCATCTACCAAAGCAGGCAGAGAAGTAACAAGGAAGAGAAAGCTGTAACCAGAAGTTTCAAAGGTCATGCCCACAGTCTAAGACTTAGGTCCTGGGGCTGTATATGTGTCAAGGCATGTCCTGAACCTACCAAAATAAGACATGAGACATTCCCTCATACTGGTTTCCAGACAAGGAAATCCACGTGCTCCAGCCAGTTACTGGTCACTGGAGTTCTGCAGTGCAGTCGTGGCCAGGGGGAGCAACAATCCAGGCAAGCTGGTCTGGGTGGAACTTCAATGCTGAGAAATAGAAAATACGAATTCTTTGCTAGAAGATGAAAGTAAGTAAGGCCTGGGAATGCGGAGACAAGCAAATGGCCCCTCTGAAGTAGGTGGCTGTACTAGTACAGAGAGGGATGAAGATGAAGCTTGCATAAGTAAGACAGTAAGGGACCATTAACACACAAATGGAAGTTACTGAGAATGGGTTTGGGAAGCTGTGAGGAGGGGAAGAAACAACAGGGAAAGAGGATTTAATAACAGCTGAGTTATACAGTCGAAGACTTTAGGAGAAACAGAAAAGATCAGATGTAATCCAACTTGAATAAGGTGGAATAAGGAGAAGCAGTACGTTAATTTACAGTACATTAATTTATCTTCTTACTCTATTGTGCTTCTAGGTTCTCTCTTTGGATTAAAAGGACAGGAAGGGACACCAGGTAGACCTGGTGCACAAGGTTTTCCTGGGCCAAGAGGACAAAGAGGACCTAAAGGTAGGTTATAATAAATAACTCAAAAAATGATCTGCTGTTATACATTGTGTAAAACCTCCATTGTTTTAAGTTTTAATTAAGTCTAATTATGACATGCTCGGGGACCAGTGAATTTGATCTGAGGCTAATACCACAAGTAGACATTGATTTTGTTTTTTAAAAGGAAAAAAAAAAAGTGATTTTCTCAAATACTTGAGGTATATATGTGTGTATAAGGGGTTGAAAGTGTTTGTTGTGACAGTTTTCTTTCCAATCCACTTCCTTAGGCGAAGAAGGTGACTGCAGTACATGCCTTTTGAGTGATGAACTCAGAAGGGGCTCTACTGGCCCCCGTGGCCCTCCTGGTTTTCCAGGAACCCCTGGCCAGCCTGGGAGAAAAGGAGAACCTGGCGATCAAGGTCCACATGGTATTCCTGGCTACGCTGGAGCAAAAGTAAGATACTTGTTTCTTTAATACATAGTTTTGTACATCTATTACAAATAAAAACCAGCTATTCTCCATGAGAAGAAAAATGATGAAAAGTACAATTTATTTTCTTTTATGCCACTTCCATAGTTTTCAGATTGCTACAAAATACCAAGAGCTAAAAGTTGCTAAGATGAGAATTAAAATAGTTTACTGTGGGAAGAGCAAAAGATTTCCACATAAAATGCACTTTCCATTTAAACAGAGCTGTTTCAGCAAAACTACAGCACTGATTATGAAGGGAAACAATTTCATTAGTTCCTTCAAATTGTTTCTAATGAGGGGCAAATGTCAGATATTAAATGTGAGATTCTTGGTTACAAATACATAACTTTTTCCTAAAAAAAACACTGTCAATAACCCTGATAAGAGTGTTTTGCTAATATTTACTGCTGAAGGTGCTATATTTTTGTTATCCCAACTAGTTTATGTTTTCTCACAGTTAAAACTCAAGATTTTAGAATAAGATTTTAGTTAAGCTAACCCAAAACTGATTTTGTTTGTATAGAGATGTCAGAGCAAATGAAATGCTTTCAGTCAGAAATTCTGGCTTTCTGACCATAAAAAAAAAAAAAATTACTTGCATCTAGTTAGAGTTTGGATTTTTCTTTTAGAAAATAAAAAGCTCTAAAAAGACACCTTTTGAAATGTTCATTGTGGAAACTTTGATTAATTTTTACAAGTTCTGCAGGTTTGTTTTTTTTTTGCCTTTGAAATAATAACTGTATTATCTTCATCCCGGAATTTAAGTTACTGTAGACTTAAGGCACATATAGACATGTCATATCACAATGACTACTCAGCAGCAAAGCCCTGACTTTATCTCAGCTTCTGGTCTGCCACAAATTCACCATAAAACAAATTACTTCAATTATTCTTAGTCCATATGCTTAGCAGAAGTGAGTCCATAATTTTCTTAACACGTTCAACAAGTTACCTTTATAGAAAATCAATATATTTAATTTAGATCAAATCTATGTGAACTTACTGTAAGTAAATACATCTATATCCCAAGCAGTGGGCATTCTTTTCTGTGGAGAAAGAGAAATCAGAAATAGCTCTAAGCCATTTTGAAAACACTCATGGGCTAAACTGCATGGTACACATTTAAACCTAGAAAGCAACAAATAACAAAGTGAACATAATACAATGCAGTGCTATTGCTGAAAATTTCTGCAGTTATAAAGTCAGTGACGTAATTCAGTATTGTATTCAGTTCTTCAGATTTCTTTTGGCTTATAAAAAGCATTGTGCAGAAGAAGAATCTCTACATCCATAGATGTGGCTTCACTAAAATGCAGGAGGTAAACACAGACAGATCCCTTCACTCAAATTTGTTCTCCCATTTTACACTTACAGAAGTGTAAACCTATATTCTTGAGATGACTTTCCATTTCCACACATGCTTTTCACCTCCTAAGAAATGCTTGGAAAATGCCAATGAAAGACGGTGATGGAAAAGAAATCAAACGAAGTAATTATGGCAAAGGAGGATTTCAGAGAAAAAATAAATGCATCAAACATTCTCTTCATATATTGTGGGCACTGAAATTCAGTAAGAGGAAGATGGGGAAAACATAGTGGCTTATATTTTAGTATGCATGAATATGTTTTTTCAGAACTATAGGTAACTGGGTTAGAACAGTCAGCACTAAATGAATCTGTAATGTTGAGCCCTTGGCATCTCCCATGCATTCAGTCCAGTAACTCAGAGTTCTTGTGGAGAAATCTTGTAGTGCCATTTTCAGCTGGGCTGTTGAGGAGAATTGTGCACTATACCAAGGAATGCCAAAGACTCATCCTTAGCCTCATCACAGCTTACCTTAGCAAGAGAGGAAATCTCCTTCCTTGGAGACTTTAAATCTTGACCGGACAAGGCCCTGAGCAACCTGCTTTAGCTTTGAGCAGCAGAATGGAGTGGGGGCCTCCAGCTGTCCCTTTCAACCAAAATCTTTCCTATGGGGCTGCGGTTTGGGGTAGTTCACTTAATCACTCTATGCCTAAGTTCCTTCCTCTCATAAATGAGGAAAATGCTGCTTTTCAAATCTACAATGGTGCTGTGAATCACAGTCCACTGCCAGCCATGCAGCTGTCATCTTTTTTAGACTGGGAAAGAGAAAATGCAGGTAAATATAACCCAGAGTTTTGTTACCATGGTGCCAAAGTGTTGCTTACAGCAATTTCCTTCCTGGCAAACAAAAAGTAATTTACTACATTTTCTCTCATGCAGTTCTCCAGCTGTAGTCATCTATAGGACTTGATCTTATGATAAGCCACAGATCTCCTAATGCTATCCTCGTGTAGAAGCACCCCTACTGTGCCATATGGGCGTTGATCCTAGTTAAGCAAGTTAATAAGGATTCAGGCACAGGAATAGGATTACTGAAGAAGAAATCAAACAGAGAGTAATAGGAAAGCATTACCGTCATGGTTTGCTTGTTTGTTTAAGCAGGACAGTGAAACCACAAATCTGGATAATTATTTATTAAGTGGTTTTATTTTGTGTTTTTGAGGATTTTCTTGTTGTTTTTGCTTTTTTGTTTTTTTGTTTTTTTTTTCTGATTTGTGTAATGCCAGGGACAATCGGGCCAAGAAGGATTTCCTGGACCAAAAGGAGAAAAGGGAGATTCTATATACATAACTACTAAAGGTAAAAAATCATGTCACATGTATTTTGCAATTATTTATGCCTTTTGTGAAAGAGCAGTTTCCCAATGAAAGATCTGCTTTAGGCACCAAAGGAATCCGAGGAGATCCTGGACTTCCTGGTATCAGAGGGGAAGATGGTTTCCCAGGCAGAGATGGATTAGATGGTTTACCAGGACTGCCTGGCCTTCCGGTAAGTAGCAAATTTTAAGAAGGGAAGAAAGGACGAGCCAGGGAACTACTGACCTGTCAGCCTTACTTCTATGCTGGGGAAGATCATGGAACAGATCCTCCTGGAAGCTTTGCTAAGGCACACGGAATACAGGCAGGTGATACAAGACAACAAGTATGGCTTCACCGAGGGCAGGTCCTGTCCGAACAGCCTTGTGGCCTTCTGTGATGGCATGACTCCATCGGTGCACAAGGGAAGAGCCACTGGCATCATGTCTGGACTTCTGCAAGGTCTTTCACACAGTTTCCCGCAACATCCAACATCCTTCTGTCCAAGTTGGAAACAAAGCTAAATCATTTCCGCCACACTCAATTACTAATACATTTAATTCTGAGGATTAATGATCATCAGGCTGCCCTTCACACACAGATGATGATGCACAACTAAACTGGCCTTGCTGATTGTTGATATACTAAATATCAGTTTTACCCTCAGATTCTTTAGAACCACCTTATACTTCTATTTCAATTTTATTTAAATACATAAGTGGTAGTGTATAACCCATTTAGGCCAATTTTATATAAGTGGTTTATTTGTGATAATTAGTAGTTTCTTATCTATAGATTGTGTGCGGCATTTTGATATGAGGGAGTTAATAGTTTCCATCCCCAAAATGTAGGTCACATCATTATTTACTTGCTTGACAATACCTCATCACCTATCACAAATGTTGCTTTCCACCACTGGATTCTTGCATCATATAGGAGGATGGACCAGAGCTTTGTCATCTGGTGTGACCCACAGTGGGTTTGACTACTAGTAAAAATGGTACTTTTTTAAATCTGTGGATGGGAACGTTTTCTGGTGATGTTCTAAAGATGTTGTGGTAACATCACTAGAGTAACAGACTAAGAAAGTTCTGCCCACTTGGGCACAATTTTATATCAGCTTCTGTCAAGATCTAAGAATTAAATGCCACACCACAACTAACTTTCATTCACCTCTAGTGATGTGTATGCTTTCCCTCATATCCGCTCACAGCATTTCAGAAAGGGTAGTAAGGCTGTCCACAGCAGTGACTCACATTTCCCATATGTTCTTGATTGGCCAGCCTTTTTAGGGGAATGCTCCCTCTAAGAGTGCTTCTCTCATGCTTTTCTGCTGTGGGGGTCTAAAATAATGTCTGATTATTCCAACTTTATCGTATTTCCAATTTTGCTTTAAAATGCTGGGATGCAATACATAAGGAATAGCTGCCTATAAGATGCTATTCATGAGTGCCCACACTGCAAGAAAGACTTTGAGGCCTTGTAGTGTGTTCTAAAAAGGGTGATAAAGCTGGTGAGGGGTCTGGAGCACAAGCATTATGAGGAGAGGCTGAAGGAGCTGGGGTTGTTCAGTCTGGAGAAGAGGATGCTCAGACATCATTACTCTCTGTAAGTACCTGAAGGGAGGCTGTACTGAGCTGGGGGTCGGCCTCTTCTCTCGTGTAACTAGTGATAAAACTAGAGGGAATGGCTTCAAGCCGCACCAAGAGAGATTCAGGCT